CAAAATATGCTGGCTTAAAAAGAAGCAATGAACCCCAAAATTAATACGTCATCCTAGATTTTTAATGGACTTAAAAGGCAATGAAGTCTTCCATGCATCCTTTTATTACCCTAGAACTGCATTATTATCCTCAGCGAAATGCAGTACCCTCAAGTAATGACCAGATATTGTTAGTTCACTCAAGCATATATAATCTCTCTTTTCCAGTTATGTTTCTCCTTTCAAAGAGTAGTTTATAACCGACTCACTTCATTTTATCGCATCTTTGGAAGGAGGCCTTTTTTTTTTACAATGGAAAAAAAGGCACATATATCCTTTTTTTAAATAATTTTTTTTCATTTGTGGAAAAGATTACTTTTTTTAAAAACTTCATTCCACTGTTAAGTTTTAAAAGTATCTTAATAAATATCAATATAAGTAGAATATATTGTGAATGTATGAATAATAATTTACTAGAATATGCCTTTTTTTATCCCAATAAAGCAAGGCATTTTTTTGAACTGAAAAAAAAAACACATATATAACTTTTTGGAAATGACCTGTTTTTTCTATTATGGGAAGAGATTAAATTTTTTTAAATTTTTATTTCACTGTTAAGTTTTAAAAGTAGTTTAAAAAATTTCAGCATAGCATAAGTTGAATATTTTGTTAATGTATGAATAATAATTTATTAGAATATGCCTTTATTTAACCAAATAAAGAGATTTTTTTTTCTTCAGTAAGAATATACTTTTTTTTTTTTAATTTTAGATTCCATTATGGATTTTTTAAATAGGCATTATAAATATAAACAAACTTATAGGTTTTGAATTTAGATTAATAAGTGGGTAAATATTTTTGAAGAAAATTTTAATTAATTAGAATTTTTGAATAAAAAGTTGATGTATTCAATGAAATTTTAAGATATCTATTTCATTCAAATTCTAAAAAAATATACTAATTATTATAGTCGAGCGTAAAAGCTTTCTAAATATTCAAAGTTTTCCATTATAAATGTCTTGCAATTAATATGCATATTTCCTCAAACAGTCTGACGTTGAAAGTGGAAAAATATGTTGTCTTAAAAAAATAAATGAACCCCAAAATTAATACGTCATCCAAGATTTTTAATGGACTTAAAAGACAATGAAGCCTTTCATGCGTACTTAAATTACCCTAGAACTGCATTATTAACTTCAAGGAAATGCGGTACCCTCAAGTAATGACCAGATATTGTTAGTTCTCTCAAGCATATATAATCTCTCTTTTCCAGTTATGTTTCTGCTTTCAAAGGGCAGTTTATAACCGATTCACTTCATTTTATCGCATCTTGGTAACGAGGATTTTTTTTACAACTGAAAAAAAAAGCATATATATCTTTTTTTTTAAATTATTTTTTTCAATTCTCGAAGATATTACTTTTTTTTAAAATTTTTATTTCACTGTTAAGTTTTAAAAGTAGCTTAATAAATTTCAATATAAGTTTGCTTTATATCTCGTTTTGAAATATTATTTTATTTGTGGAAAAGATCACTTCTTAAAAATATTTATTTCACCGTTAACTTTCAAAAATAGCTTAATAAATTTCAGTATAAGTTTAATATATTGTAAATGTATGATAATAATTTGCTAGAATATGGCCTTTTTTTAAAATAAAGTGAACAAGCCTTTTTTTACAATTAATAAAAAGCACATATATCTTTTTTTGAAATGATTTTTTTTTTGTGGAAGAGATTACTTTTCTTTAATTTTCTTTAAAAGTAGCTTAATTAATTTCAACATTAAATAAGTTGAATATATTGTGAAGGTATGGAAAATAACGCACGAGAATATGCCTTTTTTAACCCAATAAATCAAGACATTTTTTTACAACTGTAAAAAAGCATATACCGTCATTCATATACTTTGTGCAGTGGGGGCTACTTTGTGCAAATTCGAATTTGGCATTTTTCAAGTGCTGCTATTCAGTATTATGCTTATTTCACGTTAAAAATGTGTGGAATTTGAAGATAGAAGTCTCTTCTATTACTACAAACATTTTTTCGAATTTTAAAACAATCTCAGTGTGTGTTTCGTTCATCCAATGTCAACAATTTTCCGAGGACGTCGGATGTCGAAAAATGTGCGTGGAAACTTTAGCTGTGAAATGCAAAGACGTTGATTAAACAATTGTCGTAAGTGCAAAATTTTTTATTTATATATTAATAAACAATTATATCATGTTAGCGTTAAAATGTTTTTTAAATAAACAACAAATAAACGGAAAATGAAAAAAAAAATGCACTGTGGGGCTACTTTGGGGAAAGTTTCACTCGTTTTTTTTTTCGACAGAAAAATTGTCAGACGTTATAAAAAAAATACCTCGAACGAGAAATTACCTTGATTACACTTTAGAAAAGCTGCAACAATGTTTGCAAGAAGTTGCTGGTGGTGAAACGTGCGTGAAACGTGCTGGTAAACTATTATTTTTCTTCTAATGAATTAATCAAAAGATTTAACACATAAAAATATATTTTATAGGACATCAGGTGATTTTGACAGAAACTGAAGAGCAAGTTCTGTCGTGTTCATTCAAGCATGTTATGTTCAAATTTATCAATATTATAAATGTTAATGGATATGTAATAATTATTATTTTTGAAATATCATCCATTTCAATGTTAAAAAAGTATATGGTTTCCTTTTGTTTAAACTCAAATGCTTTGCAATAAGCATTCTTTTTAAGACAAAATTCTTAAAAAAAAAAAGGTTTTTTTTAACGCTGAAAATTATTTTCAAACTAATATCTTTACATATCTTGATGTTTTTATCCTTAAAAATGTCAACAATTAACTTTTTTAACAATTTTATATCAATATTTTACTAAAAACATGATTATTAAACTGAATTCCTATCGCTGCACAAAGTAGCCCCATTTGGGGCTACTTTGTGCAAGGTATGTTTTGACTTATTATTCGTAAATATTACATACAAATAATGCCAATATTGATCAAATTCACTCGTCTGAGTCCAGTTATGAATATAATATCGATAAATATTACTAAAGTTTGAATTAACATAGTTTTTTTACATGTCAAAGTCCAAAAACTGCGAAATCCTGCACAAAGTAGCTCCGAATGACGGTATATCTTTTCTGAAATAATCTGTTTTTTTTTTATTCGTGGAAGAGATTAAATTTTTTAAAATTTTTATTTTACTGCTAAGTTTCAAAAGTAGCTTAATAAACTTCCACGTAACACAAGTTGAAAATTTTGTAAGTGTATGAATAATAACTTACTAGATTATGCCTTATTTGTAGCCAAAAAAATAAGAATTTTTTTCTTTAGTAGGAATAAACTTTTCTTTAATTTTAGATTCCGTTATTGATTTTTTTTAAATAGGCATGTTAAATATAAACCAACTGATTGGTTCTGAATTCATATTAATCAGTGGGTAAATGTTTTTGAACAAAATTTTAATTCATTTGAATTGGTAAATAAAAAGTTGAAGTATTCAATATGACGATGAAAAAAATATATTAATTATTCTATTCGAACGTAAATACTTTCTAAATATACATCCGTATACTATGAAGCCCTTGGCTGAAAGTTTTCCATTATAAATATCTTGCAATTACTATGTATATTTCCTCATTGAGTCTAGCAGTTAAATTGGAAAAATATGTTGTCTTAAAAAAATAAATGAACCCCAAAATTAATACGTCATCCAAGATTTTTAATGGATTTAAAAGATAATGAAGCCTTTCATGCGTACCTAAATTACCCTAGAACTGCATTGTTAACTTCAACGAAATGAGGTACCTTCGAGTAATAACCAGATATTATTAGCTCACTCAAGCATATACAATATATCTTCTCCCGTTAAGTTCTGCCTTAAAAGAATAGTTTACAGCAGACTCAGTTTATTTTATCCGATTTTTTAACATTACCTTTCTTTGACCAGAAAAAAAATTCTTTCCTCAGATTGTTCTTTTCTTTTTTCTTTAAGAGAATTTTTTTTTTAACTTAACGTTTCGCTGTTGATTTTTTAAATAGCTTGCTAAAAGTGAGCAAATTTTTGGCGCGAATGTTTTTAGAAAAAATACTGTATATTGTGTATGATATAATTTTTTTGAAAAAAAAAGTGTTTTAATCTGGAAAAAAAAATATGTCGAGTTTTCAATATTCGACCAACTTAGCTTAATTTTATTAGAATTGCTCAGTCTAAGACACATCTTTAAAAATACACAATAATGACTGACATGATACTTTTATTCACACACAATTTTTAAACTATCCATTGTACTTCTTCCAAATAGTACTGTCATCTGTGAATAAAAATATAATAAACATCTTTGTCACTCAGTCAAAGTGGTAAAATACTTTACCATGGATATTTAGAAATCAGTGAAGCTGGTTGTAAGTTGGTACAACGGCCTTTTAGGGTGGGACCAAAAAAAACGGGAAAATTTTTTTAATAAAATGTTATTGACAATAAATATATTTCATAGGTCTCAAAATATCCGCCTTTTGCTGGGTTGCAGAGGTACAACCGCTTATTGACATTTTCAGCAAATCGGTCGCAAGTCTTCTATAGTTTGTCTAAGCTAAGAACTCCTCCCGCCACAAAGTCTGAGACCATCTGGTGCTATGGAAACAGGAATGGCTATTTTTAGAGAGGGTAGCTTCACTCTGGGACAAAAACAATAGACCGAAGAGGGAGACTCCCTTCCTCTCGTTGACTCGACCCGAACCAACTCCAAAACAGTGAACCCGCATCCCTACTTGAAATAGTTATACTTCGTAACCATAGTCACTGACACAGGTCCTGACAAATGACAGGGGGAGTTCTTATTTTAGACAAACTGTACCTTTTATCGATCCCTTTCCTGCCAAAGTGATTTTTTGATTGATTGACCAAATTTTGTGTTTAGCAATTGTGTGCAGAACAAACAAACGAGTTTTTTTTGCCGCATCTTTTAATAGGGTGATAAGATCAAATCTGATGATTTTTTTTTAAATATTAAAATAATTAAAACTTACCCTTTATTTTCTGTGGGTACATATCCTAGAAACATGTTTTCAGTTAAATCTAAAGATTTCAACGTTCCCTCACTGTGACCGGCGACATCTTCTTGTCCATCAAGAGTAAGAACACCATCTCTCAGATAACGTTTTGCCACTAATCGGTGGAACTTTCCCTTCTGCAAGCGGTGAGGTGACCTTAATATAACTGGACCACTTCCAAGATTGTATCTAGTTTCAAAGAAATTAGTATTTTTTCTCTCCTTCAGAAATGTACCATAATTTAATTAATGAAGTCGATTGAAGTATTGAACAATATTCCGTATCGATTATAATACAGGATGCATAGCCACATTTTTCAACAAAAAATATCCACCTTTTAAGCACTTTTTAAGCACTCAAAGAATATTTTTAATCACTTTCCAAAAATAAATCATAATTGGGATCTGTGCAGCAATAAAAATTGCTTGTTTATATCTCTTAAAGTTCTTAATTTATAATCTTAAAATCAATAAAATTAAGAAACTTTGCATGATCAAGATAAAATAATTAGTTTCTGATAAATATTGCAGAGAAAATTGTGAAAATCATGCATCTCTTGTAATTTGGAACGACAATCAATCTGACAAAAAAAAAATACCTGTTTTGAAAAAATAGAAAATTAAACACTTTTTACACCTTTATGCACTTTTTTACTACGCACCCTACAATATATATAGTTGGCCAGCTTAATAGCACCTGATTTCAGCGGTTTTTATTTTTTACATAAATTCACCATAATTTAATGAATGAATTCTGCTACAGTTGGGAACTATATCCTGTATCGATCTTAATTAATTATTTTCACAGTATTATTGTATTATTTTTTTCAGCAATAGTACCAGATTTCAAAGGTAAATGGCCTGAAACATTTTATCAACAAAAGGATGAAAGAAATGATGTATCGATAGTGAAAAGATATAGATATGAAATACGATACGATAGTGAAAGTATCGATAAGAATTTGAAACATCATAATTAGTTACAAACAAAAAGTGCTAAAAATAAACAAAATCCAATACTAGACCAGAAGAGAAAATTGCTCATTTTTGTTCTCAGCCTGCTATGTACCTCGGGAAATTCTAAAACCGGAAGGTTCGAAAAAATACTTAGTATTTTTTCAGATATTGCATCTTCTCCTTCTTGTGTTTTAGTGGGGAAAATGGTTGCTCTCAGCTTAAAGCTGCTCCTAAATTTTGTTTTGCTTTAACTCTTATTAAACTAGTTTAATACATTAGCAACTTTTCTAGCTTGTGTAACTTGTTGCCAAATTTTCAACATGTTTACTTCGTTGTTAACTTTCGTAACTAATTTAACTTATTGACAACTTTTGCTACTAATTTAACATATTAATATAAATTCTGAACAAAAAAACCCTTGAAACCAATGCAGCTGGTTGACAAATAGTTTCATAGCTTATTAAAAAGTTGACAAATTTTATAATTATATAATATGCTGTCAAATTTTGTATCTAATTTCAAAGATAACAAATGAAATTCTAAGGATTTTAAAGTTGGTATAGCGTTTAACCAATCCTTTCATTCACTATTTGTTTCATAGTTATTGTGTTTTAGCACTAGGTACGTTTTAGCTGGGTAATAAGCAACTCTAGCATCTAGTATTCCTTGGCCCCAGTTGGGCTCACAATTGACTCAATATGGGTAATATGGGAACATGCTCCGCGGGACCACTGTTGGGATGTCTGGATTTTTAAATATTGGTCCTATGCAGTGTCAATATCAATCTACATAGGGCCAATATATTGCTCATATTGGCTGAATAATGATTATAAAATAATGGGTGAATCTGGCAATTCTATATAGGGCCGATATTGGTTCTAAAGTGGCAGTGAAATATCGGTTGAATTGGACAATTCTATATAGGACCCATATCGGAAAATATCGGTCCTTTGAACCCTTATTGAGCCAAGATTCGTGAATGTTGGTCCAATGAGGGCCTAAGTTATTTGGCTGGTAGGGAAGTCAACACCATTTTTAGTAAAAGTAATTAAGCAGAACAGTAGGTGTATTTACCTGAACTCGACAAAACCATCCCTAACAGAAAGCGAGACGAAATCACCAGATCCAGATGGTGTTTGTCCATTGTACAGAATAATGCCGTTGCCACCAAACGTTTTAAACTCTAATTCCAAAGACAGACGAGTGTAGGCTTGTAGTTTTGGAAGTTCTAAAAAGGAAACACCCGAAAACGCTGGTATATCAACAGGCGTATCTGAAATTGAAGCAAATAGTTATAAATATATAATAATAATTATATAATCAAATTATTATTTAGCTTCAACTATTGCCACACATACCATCAATTGGTGGTTTTGATGTTGTGGGTCCCGTGCTCAAAAAGAATTGCTCAGAATGGCTCACATCTCTTGTTGATTTCGACTCAAACTGATCGAATGTTGTTTTCTGCACAGTCGATCTCCTAACTGGACCTGCTGTTGGTGACACATCTTCAGCTCCAATAATTATCCCGCCTAATAAACAGGAGAATATTACCTTATTTGTACAAAAATTATAAATCATAAGCTTTAGTCTGTATTAGCAATAAATACATACCAGGCTTGCACGGTCCTTGTTGTTTCACATGAATTGGCTTCTGGTATCGGCAGCTAAATACACTCATTTGGCAACTCGTGACGTAAGTATTTCCATCTGTACCGCAGACTGGTGAAGGTACTGTGATTGGTTTACAGGGTATTTCACAGAAACACTGCGCTCTGCTTCCAGATTCTCGACATATAGCACCATATTTACAGTGTAAATCTTTACAAGTACCTGAGATTGATTCGGCCAATGATTCTGTGAAAAATAGTTTTAGTGAAATCAACGATATACAGATCATAAAGAACAATTTATGAAGACAAAGAAGAAAAAAAATGGGAAGAAACCACGTATTTTTTCATATTTCACTCTTTCATCTCGACGGACGAGGTAACTCGGTCTTTCAGGAATATTAGCTGTGCTCTATTGTTATATTAGTGAATATAGTTATTGATTGCAACTGATTATTATATTCTAAAGTGAAATAAACAAGTTATAAAGGAATCTGTTCTTTATTTCAATTTTAGTGATGCGGGTTAAATATAAACGCAGATAGTGTGACAAAGGCGTGTCTTTTCCGCAATGAATGTGTTAAGAGTTAAAATGTTTGGCTGAACTCGTTCTTTTAAACTATTTTAAGAAATAGTTAAGAATATATAAACTTTTTAAAAATGTCTTTAAAGATATTACTTGTGCCTAATTTTTTTAAACATCTTGTATAAGCTCTGCAACATGTATGTTATTTATTCTTAATCGTCGAATTATTGAATATTTACAAAACTCTAAAGGATATATGCAGTGACTAATCAATTATTATACATATATGTATGTATTCAGGGTGGTCTTTATAGGACACCCTGAATTTTTTGCATCCCCGTCGTCGAAAATATTAATGTAATCCGACCTTAGAGAAAACAATATTCTTATTTATTTGCTTATTTTTCATGACACCCTAAGACTCAGAAAACTATTTGCGAGCATTTCAAATCTATTTCTAACACAGCAGTTTCTTTATTTCACGAAAGAATTCGCTTTGCTGTAATGAATGGTTCAAACAACTCACCATCCATGCATCCATCTTGTCCCAGAACCATGCCTTCGGGACATATATCACATTTCATTCCCAGAATACCATGTTTGCAAACACATCTTCCTGTCATTTGCTCGCAGTCGTCCCGAGCAGAGCCTCTCATGTTGCAATCGCAGGCTATAATCAGACATAAAAGAGTTAGAGAAAGAATAAAAGAGCCTTTTCAAAAATCCGCATTCTGACATTCCGCGTAATTACTTATGTAAGTTGCAGGGGCAGGATGAAATTATTTATGCTTGGATATAAATAAGTGTCATGCAGATATCTCTGTTTTAGGTTCGGGCTTAAAGTTGTGGCTCAAATGTGAAGAAAATATATTACATATCTACAGTGTTCGAAAAAACTTAATTATTTTTGTAGTCTACTACAACTACTTCGTTATAAATAGAATCATTCCACGTAATTACTTATGTAAGTTGCGGGGGCAGGATGAAATTATTTATGCTTGGATATAAATAAGTGTCATGCAGATATCTCTGTTTTAGGTTCGGGCTTAAAGTTGTGGCTCAAATGTGAAGAAAATATATTACATATCTACAGTGTTCGAAAAAACTTAATTATTTTTGTAGTCTACTACAACTACTTCGTTATAAATAGAATCATTCCACGTAATTACTTATGTAAGTTGCGGGGGCAGGATGAAATTATTTATGCTTGGATATAAATAAGTGTCATGCAGATATCTCTGTTTTAGGTTCGGGCTTAAAGTTGTGGCTCAAATGTGAAGAAAATATATTACATATC